TAACTTTATTCCTTAAAGGTAACTTTAACTTCAGAACTCGATATATTATAGTGTCACAGTTAAATTTATTTCCCAAATATAACGACAAATCTTAAATGTATTAACTTTCACCAGAAAAAACTTTCAGACTGAAAATACAGAAAGCTGGGAAAGAAGGACAGAGGGGTGAGGTGCTGTTACGCAACTATTTCAGATCTGAAAAGCTCCTGCCAATGCTTGCAGAAACACACACCGCCATCCAGGCCTTCGCAGGGTGTTTGGAAAAGCGCCGACAGCAAGGATAGAGAGGTCATACAGGAAGCTCAATGACAAAGCAAGCTTATTAACTTAACTAAGTCACATTAAAATCAACACATTTTTGCCCTAACCAAAGTTTTTATTCTGCAGAGAACATGTGAACGTCCTGACCCTGAAATGAAAACACTGGTCTCCGTGGGGAGGCTAATCCTAAAGCTGAGCCGCAGCATACCAGCTGTCTTCTCCAAACAGAGCTCTGAGCGAGAAGGAGAACGTCAGCAGCGCTTTTCCTCCTCCTCCTCCCATTTTTACTATATCACTCACATGACAACTTCTGTGTAATTGTAGCTTCAATTCAATTCTCTGCCGATTTCCACAGAATTCACACCTCCTGACCCTGGGAGTCAAATGTTTTTGTTCATTTGATAACTACTAAAGTGTAAGTCTCTTAGCGTGTTTCGTAACATGTTTAAAACAACAGATTTCAGACAGGAAATGACAATCTGCTCAAAAACAGCTGATAAATAAACAATTATTAAAAAAAGACATATACCGTCTTTAAAAATGTTCAATGTTCTGGTAGCAAAAAGGGGGAAGGAAGAGGACTTTCCAAGAAAATCTTGGCTTATTAGCAGCACTTAATGGCGATTGTGGCCTCTTAATTAAGCGTTTCACTGAACTAAAGTCCTGTAATTCCTCGTATGAGCTGCTCTCTTGTTTGTGAGGCCTGTAAAGAATGTGGATCTGACAGTCAGCACGTGGCTGTGAAATTATGCAACCCCAGGGTGCATTCTCTCAGTACAGACCAGAGAAATTTAAGCAGCACTTCACTTAATTCATAATGACCCAAAAGTTTAAAACCTCCTTGACCAGGTTTAATATAGAAATATGTGACCCTGGACAACAAAACCAGTCATAAGTGTAAATTTTTTTAAATTGAAAAGCATCATCTGAAAGCTGAATAAATAAGCTTTCCATTGATGTATGGTTTGTTAGGATAGGACAATATTTGGCCGAGATACAACTATTTGATAATCTGGAATCTGAGGATGCCAAAAAAATCTAAATATTGAGAAAATTGCCTTTAAAGTTGTCCGAATGAAGTCCTTAGCAATGCATATTACCAATAAAAAATTAAGTTTTCATATATTTACGGTAGGAAATTTACAAAATAACTTCATGGAACATGATCTTTACTTAATATCCTAATGATTTTTGGCATAAAAGAAAAATCGACAATTTTGACCCATACAATGTATTTATATTGGCTATTGCTTCAAATATACCTGTGCTACTTAAGACTGGTTTTGTGGTCCAGGGTCACATATATAGAAAAATCAATGTCTCATAACAAAGTAAATCTTCCCCAGACTCTAAAAAATATGTAATAATGA